ATTGTTGGTTTTCTCTTTTTCGTCCGTATACCAGTCGATTTGTCTCACTTTTCTCTTTATTTTGTTTGTAGTTTGAGCCCAAAATATTATATTTTGAACTTGAAGGTTTTAATGTGCAGTTTTAATAAGCGAAATTGTATTGTTTACAAATCGCTCAAAATTATTAAACTAATTAAGAATGCAGTCCGTTTGATCCTTGATAACTTCGGAATTGTTGGTTTTCTCGTTTTCGGCCGTATGCCAGTGGAATCGTCTCACTTTTCTCCACATTTTGATAGTATTTTGAGCCCAAAATATTTTATTTTGAAGGCTTTGAAACGCAGTTTTGATCCTAACGTACGGACCAACTGGCGGCCGACAGGAGAATGTATGCGTGCTAAATATAACTTTACTTGTGCATGTAGGCGGAAACGCCGAAAGTTTTATTTGTAGGCGGGCACCGCATTTTAGTACTGTGTCTGGTTCTGCCTGTGAGTTAGTTTGTTAGTTTGTTAGTTTGTCCGTTTGTTCGCATCAATACGTTTCCTTAATCGCCTACAAAAAATTCCTTGCACGCGCTCGGAATTTATGAATTTATTAATTAATCGTGTACTCTCATGATGATCGACTGTTTGCTCAGTTTTATCTCTGGTTTTATGCGTAAAACAAGGACAAAAATACCACTGTTCGAATCAGCGTGAAAAGTTGTGTTTACGGATGGAAAATTGATTTCAAAATTGACTTCATACAATTTTTTGCCATTACGTGAACAATGCCAGCAGTAACCAAGGCGTAATTGAAAGCGGCTTCTTTAGTTGCTGTAGAACAAATGACAATACAGGGTGTATCAATAAAAACGCAACCTCGGAATCTCCTAAGAAACCACTTTGCAATTCTTAAACATAAAAGATTTTAGGCCCCTGGGAATTGAAATCGAATTGCTAATAGATCATATTACTGTTGTTGTGCATTAAATAAATGCATAAATTTTGCTTTATGCACTCGCGTGTGCAGTAATTTTGACAGTTATGCTATTTTAAATTCACAGGCGCCTAAAATCTTTTGTCTTTAAAACAATGTCGATTTCTTGGGAAATTCCGAGGTTGCGCTTTTTTTGATACACCCTGTATAGCAGTTAAGCATGAACATAATAATATTTCACTGTTCCACATAGAAATCCAGTAAGAATCATCCCTGCATTGGCCCAGAAGAACCGGGATACCCGGAGAAAACCTGCGCTGTTGTGGGGCAGTAGTAGAATTTGGTGAACTTGGGACACACTTCTAAGGAGTCTGAGGGGAATTTTTACTGAGCAGGAAAGTGCATATTGCAAGAAGATGAGAATCCCAGATGGCCAGACCATTCATGCGCCTCAAACTGACATTAGTATATGTCTCTTCAACTATCGCATGTATAATGAGTATGCGATTGTCAATATTGAATAGAAATCCTTCATAGTTGAAGATCTTGGAAAGCTATTTGATCCATTATAAATCTAGTCAATCTGCCAAACATTGGGAAGTGTAAAATATTTAATATTACTAGGAGTTAACATCTAATCTTTTCTTGGAATGAAGAATGCATGTGTATAGCAAGACTAATATTGTTCTCTTTATAGTGAACCAATCCTATAGTATATAGAAAAACGTGGCTTGAAATTAGTAATAAGCAAATCCAGGGTCCATGAAGAAAAATCCAGGGTCCATGAATCAGTATATCCCCCGCAGTTTTTTCTGAATGATTATCCATTTTAGTTCTCCTAGTTTCCACCTGTTAAATTCCACTACACAATTTTTGTGTAGAGTATAAATCAAGTATAAATCAAGCTTACTGTATAAATCAAGCACACAACTCAAGTTGTAAGCAGACTTCTTAAATCCGACCATTTATTTCACAAATATTCTCAGGCGATTTTTTTTTTTAATTTTTTTTTTTATTAACTTTACAATCAATAACATATATTAACAAATGATTGAAGGAAAAGGACAACAGATCTTAAATAAGATCCAATTAAGTCCCACCAAAACTATTTCTGCTAACATGCATAACATTTACATGTTTATTAATCTAACTTAAAGTGTTATCTGGCTAGAACCGTCTTTTTGTCTTAACAGAGTTTAGTATAATTACATAGGTGATTATTGAAAATTCTCCACGCTGATTGGTTGCCGTTGAGGTGATTATTACGCGATAATCACCTAAGCGATTTTCAAAATGGCGGCCGAAGCCGAAGAAATGTGTATTTTCTTATTTTTTCCAAATAATCACCTATGAAATTATACTAAAACAATTATTCACCTCAGGCTCGGTGATTATCGTGAATAAAAACCTCGACTTCGTCTCGGTTTTTATTCACCGATAATCACCTCGCCTTCGGCGAATAATTGTTAAATAAATGATTTTTTAAAAATTTTTTAGAGTTTTTATACTACTTTTTACAGTTTACACGTTTACGAACAACAAGTAATGTCAAAGGAGCGACACTTTGTACACAAAGATTTCCAAGTTCTTGGTCGATCGACATCAAAATCTAAGCTCAATTTCTCATAGTAGTAGTGGTATAGTTTAATTTTGAGCGAAGAGAAGGTTAGCGATGATTTAATAGTTGATGGTAGGTTGTTCCACATTAGAACCACTCTGTTGAAATAGAAGTTTCTGAAGAAGGATGTTCTGCATAAATTAGGTCGGAGAGTGTTGGCTGAGCTAAAGCGAGTCTGGTGATGAGGTGGTTGAACAACATAGTCCTCGAGCTTTAAGTCAAAATATCCTACTTTGCATTTAAAGAAAAACGTTATGTCCTTTATTTCAAACCAGTACGATATTGGGATAAGGTTTAGTCTTTTCAGGCGTTCCACGTATGTTAACCTGTAGTCTTGCAGAATAAATTTAGTCGCGCGTCGTTGTATTCCCTCAATACGCAGTAGGTCTTTCGACGTTGTTTGTGGTGCCCAGAATTCACTACCATAACATAACTGAGCTCGAACAAGCGATATATATAATGTGCGTCTGGAATTTACATCTGTTAGATGGACACAATTGCGACGTAGAAAACCAAGCATACGGTTGGCCTTTGCCACAACATTTCTGATGTGCTGTGACCACTTTAAGTCGCTGCTTACTTGGATACCAAGATCTCGTTGAGTGGATTTGAATGGGATAAGTTCGTTGTTAAGATGGTACTCTGGTTGTTGGATGGATCTCTTTCGAAGTAGACGACCAATTACAGAGCGAGTTAATGTCAGACTGCAGAAGGTTGCTGTCTTGTGAATTGTGAATAGATCGAAAACATTTGCTGTCATCCGCAAACATGGGAACCAAACGGGAAGACCGTTAGCGTAAATTAGGAAAAGCAAAGGCCCGATAATACTGCCTTTTATAAAATAACATGTATATAACGCGTGCTCTGATTGGTCGAAACCCGTGTTTGGATCAGGCCATCCAAACACGGAAGACTATCGTGTTGTTGTTATTTTATAAAACAATTACTTTATGGTTTCCCTGTTAGGATGGCCTGATCCAAACACTTGGGAATGTTGCTCGAGTTAAGAAAAGCGCGCAAAATCACTCGCCTTCGGCTCGTGCTTTTGCGTGCTTTTCTTAACTGTCGCAACATTCCCGCGTGTTTGGATCAGGCCAGCCAAACACGGAAACCATAAAGTAATTGTATAGTGGTACTCCAGATGTTACGTCCAGATACGTAGAAGAAAATCCGTCAATTACCACACGCTGCTTTCGCTCCTTCAAGTAGTCAGAAAACCAGTACAAGAGTGTACCCGAGATCCCAAATTGATGAATCTTGAATAAAAGCTTGTCATGGGGAACCGAGTCGAATGCTTTGGAAAAGTCGAGGTAGATCATGTCCGTTTCTTTTCCAGAGTCAAGTGCTTTACCGACATTGTGGATCACACCAAGGAGTTGAGTAATGCAGGACCGACCTGTACGGAAACCGTGTTGTTGATCATGTAATAGAGGTTTAACAAAAGCAGAAACTCGGACATGGATTGCGTGTTCAAGGACTTTGGAAATCAGCGATAATAAGGAGATCGGTCGATAATTACTAATTACATGGGGGTCGCCACTTTTAGGGACAGGAACAACATTTGCTTGTTTCCACTCTGTTGGTACTTTACCGAGAGATAACGACATGTTGAACAATGATGTTAGAGAGGGAGCAAGCACACCTGAACACTCTTTCAAAAGTCTGGCTGAAATCCCATCTGGACCTGTAGCCTTTGCTGTTGATAGGTTGGATAGCAACGCATTAACTTCTTCGGCTGTCACAGTAATCGTATCAAGTTGGTCCTGTACTGATACGGAGGTAGTACACAGAGGAGTGGAGGGTTTAGGAAGAAATACGGAAGCAAAGTACTGGTTAAAAGCGCCAGCTTTCGCTGACGAAGAATTGTATTTTTCGCCAGTCATGTTCATTGTGACTGGGAGAGGCGACTTAGCGGATTTGGTTTTAAAGAATTTCCAAAACTCTTTAGTATTGGACTTTACCGATTCTGCTAGGTTTTGCATGTACTCTCGTTTCTTCAATTTAATCATGCGTTTAATGTCCCTACGTTTGTCACGAAATTTTTCCCAAAGAAGTGACGAGTTAGATTTTTTTGCTCGTTTTCTCAACGTGTCTTTTTTATTCAGGGCGTGAATAATGTCACTTGTGATGTATGGAGGGGTAGATAACCGTCGTACTTGTTGCTTAGGGATGTGGGTATCAATTGCAGCGAGAAAAGTGTCTTTCCATTTCGACCACGCAATATCAATGTTATTCTCACCCTCAACAATATCAGTTAAAGGTAAAAATGATAGGGTTTCTCGGAGAGATTTGAAGTCTCCCTTACTGTAGTTGTACGAGAGTCTGTTCGCTGTCAGCTTTAACTTTCTGTTGATGTTGATGTCAAAAGTAATAGCTTTGTGATCGGATGGTAACGAAACAGCTTCGTCATCAGTAATGTCTATGTTATCGATTAGATTCTCGTCAGTACTCAGAATTAAGTCGATGGTGTTTTGTCCTCTGGTTGGTGAATTTACTAGTTGGAAAAGCCCACCCTGAAGTAAAATGTCAGTAAATGCCGTTTCGAGCGATAAGTCAGAAAACCCGGACCCGTCCAACCACTGGATAGATGGATAATTAAATTCTCCGAGGACAATAATATCATTAAATTTTGATTCCTTGGAAAAATGCACAAATGTGTTCAAATGATGTACAAATTCTAAGCCAGCATTCGGAGGTCGATAACACACTGCAACCAGCAGGAGTTTTGAGGATGATTTGATCACGACACTTGTTAGTGCTAGGGAGCCAGAGTTATATTGGAATGGTTCACTCAGTTGTAATTGAATCTTTCACAGCTAATAATACACCACCGCCACGCTTACTGTTTTCTCTATCTCTTCGAATAATTTGGTATCCGCTCGGTATAATTTCAAGATTTGAAATTGAGTCATTCAACCAGGTTTCAGTCAACGCAATTATATCAAATTGGTTTGTTAAAACAATGTCTTGAAATGAAGACAGTTTGCATTCTCGACAATTGGTCAAGTTGTCTAACTGGACAGACTTGAGACTTCGTACGTTTTGCAAAACGACGGAAAGATTTTTCTCTTTGCTTGAAACTGATGGACCTGGATTCTTTTCTACATTAAACGAGGCATCAGAGTTGGCGTAGTATCGAAATCTCGAAGCTAGAAATTTCATTCGCCTCCTGGTTTTGAATGGACTAACGTACGTTGTACTTGTATTGGTAAATATATTGACTTTAATAGTAAGAACTGAATGCAAGTTCTGAACCTGGGAAATAGATGTTGATTTTGGTTGAATAATCTCAGTTGTCGATAGCCAACGGCCCAACACGCTAAAACAATAAAAACAAACCATACAGCCAAAGGGTTTTGCTTATTTAGACGTGTTTTTGCTCTCATTTTCCAAACTTTAGTTCCAAATATAGTCCTAATTAGTTCCAAATTTAGTTCCAAATTAGCTCCAATTAGCAATTAGCTTTTTAAGGATCTTTTGTCAATCATGCATGATCATTAAATTATTTCAATGTTACCGCGCTTTATACCGGTATCCCAAATAATACACATCCACGCTCGTTATTGACGGTAATATCGCGTTGACCCAACTTTGTAGGGAAATCCCCAGAATGAAACCAGAGAAGTTCGACAAAGTTAAAGGTCACCAGACGGCGTGACAGCACATTACTATACAAGATCAATGGAGCAGGAAAAAAATCACGAAAAACTACACCACAAACAGAAATAATTAGTTCAGGATGATACGAAGGAGCAGACAAACACGAATCCAATGTTGAAGCTCGACTTTAAGTGAAGCGAGGTCGATTTCAGGTTGATAGAGATGTTGCCATGACGAACGACGCAAATTAAGTGATTTAAAAAAATTCCCAACGGTCAAAATTTTAAAAAACGCCTATTATTTAAATTGTATATTACTTGAAAGCACCATAAACCTGACACGACGACAGTGACAAAGTACGTTATACACAGGTAAAAATTGAAATAAATCCAATAAGCAAGAGACAAGATATTGAGCGACAAGCCAAATTCACGATATGTTCATATGTTCATATGATCTTTTATGATTGTTGCCACCAAATGACGTTTTATCTGGCTTACAAATAATTATTTTAACATAGGTCGACAGAAGTCAAATCGGGAGGTAGCCTCGCATGGGCTATTATGGCCCGTTCGCTATTTTCCCGTTTAGGAACTGCATGTTTGTTGTATTTGTACCTTATTAATGTAATATATTTAGTTCCTAATAAAGCTGTTTAAAAAAAAAATAATGACAAACACTGCGACACAACAGATGACCACGATAACAAAAACCCAAATATAAGAGTAAATTTACAAAAAAACACCACAAACGATTTATCCACGGAGACACGAGAACTCTATATCCAATTTGATACTAAATGAGATTGTTGGTATAAAATTAGTTTAAAAGTTCTATTGGTTTAATGAGATTACTGTAATAGTATTATGCACTAATTATCTTAGAATAGTCTGCATTTTTGTCAACATTACAAAACTTCAGTGAAAGGTATTTTATGATATTAACGATTTTATTGTGCAATAATTACTGTCGATGCAATCGGAAGTATTTAGAGGTGTGCAAATCCGATCCGAAACCGATCCGAATCCGATTCCGATCGGATTTCGGATCGGATTGATAAAGTTGTTTCGTAGTCGGATCGGATCGGACTTCGATATCCGAAATAAAATGAATTAATTATCCACGCATTATCGCAAGAATTAATTATCCATGCATTTATCAAAACATTATCGCGGTTGTCGCTGCATTATTCGTTTCATACTTCAATTGGACGTCACTTTGTCAGCTTCTTGACATGTATTTCTTGCTTTTATATTTATTTGATTAAATATTTCAACTTGAATGAGAAATTTATTTTATTAAAGAATTCTTCGGATTGGATCGGATTGGAATTCTTTATGAAAACTCGGATCGGATTCGGATTAGACAACTTCGGATCGGATCAGATTTTAAACATTAGGCAATTGTCGGATTATAAACGTCCAATCCGATCCGATGCACACCCTCTAGAAGTGTTGATCAGTGCTTCCACAATCGCTTGTTCAAAAATCCTTTTACAATCTCCAAACTGATTCCTTTTTTCCCACAAAATTTCCTTGTCACCCAAACGATGGAAAAAATTAAGAAAATTCAGGCATATTTGAGGCAAATGTATCATAGACCTTACCAGAAATCGAGCATCATTTAAGACTCGTAACTGGTACACTGTATAAGTTACAGAAATCCTTGCAATTTCCTTTAATTTTTGTATTTTTCCTTGCCATTTCCTTGTAAATTTTATTTCCTTGTAAGTTCCTTGCAAGGACCAATATTTCCTTGCTGCAAAGAAAAATCCTTGTAAGTGGAGCACTGGTGTTGATAAAATATTGCATGAATTAATTTCCTCAAGTTGATCAATATGAACTGAATTCAAATTTCTTTTTACTTCCTGTGCGTTTCCTATTGGTCAATCGGTTCTGAAACGGAATCTAATTGGCTCATCTAAAAGTAACAGGAAGTTGATCAATTTTCTATCAAATTAATTGATCAACTTGAGGAAATGAATTCATGCAATATTTTATCAACACTTCCATTGCATCCACAGTAAGTAATTAAGTTACAATAAATAAATAAATATAATAGTTTTGTTTGTGGAAACATCACGTAAATTTATTACTGCAAAGCTTTCGATCCGTAAGCCCGGATCTTCATCAGTGCTAATAGTAATAATATGCGACTTGTTCAATTGGTGATCTGTTGGTTCGCATCATTTGAAATTTAATTAAACGGCACATCAACACGTCATTTCAAACGTAGTGAAGTGATTCTAATTTGGCAGTAATAAATTTACGTGGTGTTTCCACAAACAAAGCTATTATATGTTTTATCGCCATGCAAACTTACAAAGAACTTATAGATAGGTAGATAGAGACTTTATTTAAAGAGGGTGACACTTAAAGATGCGGTACAGTCCGTATGTAAACAAAGGCTTTGTTTACATTTCGGTATCCAAAACATTGAATTTTATTCGACAACTATTTATATTTTCACGATTCTAGAGTATAACAAATTATCAAGACACAACAATCAAGCTTTGCAAGAACATAAAATGAAATAAAAACCTAAATAAACTGTTTGTAAATAAAAAGAGGGCTCCTCTTTGTGCACAGGCGCAGATCGGACTGTACCGCATCTTTAATAGTACGAAGTACTAATGAACCTGTGGCCCTCATAAATAAATAATTGCAATAGATAATTTAGACTGTTGACAACTCCTGTTGTGCAGACGTTCTTAGTACCTCACCCCCCCAGAAGTAAAAGTAGAAGTGGCTAAGGCCCTCCCCACAACCCCCAAAAAAACGATCAGAATAAACTTCTGAAAAGGAAAAATTCTCCCTAAAAAAATGGGCAAATGTAGAGAAAAAATGAGGAACGAATTTTAACCCTTTCACTGACCCCAACCCCAACCTTAACCCAACTCTAACCTAACCCTAATTTATTTTAAAAATTGATATAAAAATAGAAACCTTATTTTGAAGTATACTATCTAGCAAATGCCTTTATATATAAATTAGCTGATGTTTTTATTACAATACATCGTTTTGATAATTACGTCACAAATCTCTGCTCTGATAATTACGTCACAAATCTCTCACTTCTTGATTCATGAGAGCGAGGCACCCGGGCCAAAGAAGTCTTTGTGACGTAAGTATCAAATGGTGAAGTGAAAAAAACAACAGACTTGCTTTACACTTACCGTATTTTGTCATTAGGCCAAGCGCTGTAGATTTTCCTGAAATGCTCGAACAATCCCATCGTTCATTATTAAACTGTTTAATACATTCTTGTCTTGCCAATCTGGCACCCTCAATAACACTTTCCATTAAAAGCAAATTGTTTCGACAAATATTGTGTTGTCTTGGACTTAAGTCTCTGTATATGTCACAAAATAGGCTGTGCTGGACAGCAAACATCGTCCCATTTTGTCCATCCTGCACAATGCTTCGTTTCATTTCAACAGATCTAAAATTCAACAGAACCATGATATCAACATATGGACATTGGAGGAAATTACTGTTATACGTAATCAAAGGTGTGAACTTAAATACTCACGCGGAATTATCAATCTGTTCGCAAAAATATAATACAAAGACCACAATTACGAATTGACACATTGTTTTCATGGTATCTGCAAAGAAAAACAACAACAAGAATGTATTATTTGGACAATTATCACACTCCATATAGAATCTTCAGTCAAAATATACAATGTTCTGAAGATTCTAAAACTTAAACCGGCAAACCGCGGCTTGACTAATGTCACGAAAATCTTTCCTCTCCATGACCTTGGATACAATATAGAATTCAAGTAGTTCTAGTTTAAGATTAAAAGATAAATTTAAGCGGTTAATTAAGGAGTAAGACGTGAATTGGAACCTGCTTGGCTGGGTTATATAGTCCAGCTAAGTCCAGCTCAAATAATGAAATAAACTGCTCCTATACGTTTCCTAACTTTTAGTTAAACACATCGTCTTTTTCATTCGTTTATACTACGAAAACGGACTAGAAACGTAAGTGTATAGATGTCCGCATTTCATCATTTGAGGCATGAACGAATCACTCAAAGGGTGTAAAGCGCATTTGAGTTGTTACAAATGCGCAGTTCAGTAGAATTATAGGACTATATGAAGTAAAAGATACACAAAGACAGGAAATTAATCCAGTCATTATTAAGTGACAATTTTTGTCAGCCCCTTCAACACGCAAAAACTGATTAAATAGTAAAATATCACAATATGAGCTCCATCAATACGAAAACAAACCTTATATTTGGTGTTTTACAAAGTAATCTCTTTTTATATTGTATAATATACAGTGATCATGTCATGTGGTGATCATAATAAACATTCAACAATAATGTGTTTTGACACAAGATTGAAGATCTTAACCGACATGTGTGCATGCATATACCAACAGAATCCTCTATTATTTTGGACCTATAAGTAGAATCCGGCACTGAATCAATATACATTTCAAATACGAAATATCCGTTGACTTGTCTAAAATAAGCAAGTGGTTCCATATTTAGCAATATGTTTTAAATTTACACCGTTTCCAACGTTGTGGTAGCCTGCGTGCAGTCTCAGACTTGGGTCCGACCGAAAACTTCGAGAAACGCTTCAATAAAAAACAGGCCATGAAAATGAGATCAGAAAGGTGCCGGTACGATTACGTCGATTCAAGCATTTTTGTGATGAAATCTAGCAGAATTCCGAAGATTATAAAGTACATCGAAGACATGAATTTTCCCAGATATTTCTACAATTGGAAAAGTCACCTTGAAAAACAGGAGGAGGGATCAGTGTCACCTTACTTTCCCTCTGTGATGCTGG